TGTGTTGGAAAATAACACTGAGATGTGCCATGTGTGACTTTGTAGCACCGAAATGAAATTGTACAAAGGAAATCCCGGCCGGGTAAACCTGGACCAAACCCAGCAGCACCTAACGTCGGACTTGCCTTGGGTCTACAAAAACACACCCATAGGAAAAGAGAAGAGAGCGAGGCTGATTATGGCCAACATGGACATTCCACCTCCATGCAGGAGCAGTATGCAAAGGACCTCAAACAAGGTGGCTAAGGTTGTAACTGAACTTAAGACTAAGGATATGGCTGAAAAGGTGGAGTTAGTGAAGGATGTTAATCGAAAGAGGGGTACAAAGCCATGTGAAATGAACATTGCAATGGATGGCCGATACAACTCGACGACAATAGTAAGCAGGAAGAAGCCAGGGCAGAATGCATCACAAGCAATCGGCATCGCTTGCGAAACTGTAACCGACAATAAGTTTATAATCAGTGCATCATTCCAGAACAAGCTCTGCTGGACTTGTGCCTGGTTGAAAGGAAAGGGCATGGATGTGAAATGTCCAGGGGGGCACCCAGACTGTACTGCAAACATGTCGGCTTTCACTCCATTGTCTGAGTTCAACATGGGACAAGACATTGGAAATCAGGGTGTGTTTATAAAGTATGCAACTACCGAAGGGGATTCCAGGTGTGCAGATGGACTAGACAAAGCTCTGAAAGTGTTGGACCCAATGTGGAAGGTGCAAAGACTAGCTGACCCAACCCACTTGGCTCAAGGACAGTTCCGACAATGCTACAGAGCTGATTTTAACCCAGACATGTTCCCTGGCACTGCACGTACACAGAAAATCGAAGCAAAGAAGGTGCTAAGTCAGGATGTGAAAGCACGGTGCAGCCTTATACTAAAAGAACTGATGAAGGATCATGCTGGCGACATGAAAACACTTAGTAGCATGTTACCTCGAGTGCTCGAAGCTACCCTGAAGTGCTACAGCGGTGACTGCTCCAGGTGTGCCCGGTACTCAGTTGTGTGTCGAGGAGGTGTAACAAACAGCTGGTGGCAGCGTTCGATGTTTCTCGGCTGCAACAATATTACACATTTCAACAGGGATGACAACGATAAACACTTACTTCATGAAATTCTCAAAATGAAGCTAAGTGTGGAAGTTGTTGAACAAATGAAATTCTACACAGACACCCAGAAATGTGAAGCGCGTAATCGATCCCTGAGTATTTCTTTGCCAAAGAATGTAAACTTTTCAAGGAATATGATTGGGAGGGCTTCCTCGACTATTCACAGGCTCAACAATGGCCTTGGGACATCATCAATCGACAAGTGCCACCATTCTGGAGTCAAACTCTCAAGTCGGGCTGTGCAGTCACTTGAGCAAATGGACAAAGAGGCTGCCTATCACAAAGAATATCAGAAAAGTCCAAGTGTTGTCAAAAGGAAACTTGTACAGCACGGAATCAAAATCTGTGAACATTTAAAGTCTAAACAGACCGACAAACACAGTGGGGACTACAAAAAGGACCAATTAGATCCTGTGCCATGTTTCAACAAAAAACATGAACATTCCTATTCAAAATGTGCAGTAATGCTGCAGAACTTTATAAGCTAATTACTTGCTTATGTTACCAACTTTGTGCAAATTTATGTTTAAATACATCTCTCAGCTTTCCGCGAATCAAGTATAAATACCATTGAAACGGAGGTATTATCATTAGTACACTAGTGTACAAATAATATTTTACTATATTATATGATATAGTATTTTTAACATACTTTGTCTTTGTTATTGTGTTCATCTATAGCTTCAATTCCAAAAGGCAATCCGGGAATGGTGCATGCCCTTTACACATACCCCCGTTTACACAGGCCACTCTGTCTGCATTGATGCTATGTTGTTGTTCAGCAGACAGTGCATTTATTGTTGTGCCACAAATGGCAGGTGCATTTATTGTTGTGGCACAAATGGCTGATGTCGTAATCACCTATGTCGAAGTTTTCCCTGTGCACTATAAAACTAAGCCGGTGGGCATGTGTAGTACGCCACTGGTAGGCCATGGGGCAAAAATACCTCACTATCCCATACCCACTGTGCTTGCATGCTCCAGTCCATATATGACATGTGCCATTCTGCTCACTGAGGACTGAATCCTTCAAAAACTTATCTCTATACCTTTTGAAAAAGGCTTGAATATTTGACATTTTAGGTAATACATGCATGAACAAGGCACGTGCAGTGTAGTGATACATACATTCACCATAATGGAACGAATATGACTAAATATGATGCTTCCGCTCACTCACTAAACAATATGCATTCAGAAAATTGAAATAAATTCATTAAAAATTTAGAAAAAATTATTTTAAGTTGAAAACACATGTATACATATTTCAAATGTTCCTGCCAATACATATGCGAAGTTTCAAGACAATATTTCGAACAATAACAGAGATATAGCAAATTAAACACTTGCACTACCTTCACCATATCAGGCCTCAGACCACAATTATTTTCCCTATTGGCTATGTACAGTTACATGCCAGTCTACCATAATAAATATCGGTCGTAGGCTGATTTCCTGTTGCAACCTGCCACTTGTCACTTAACCAGCAAAATATCGGCCTGGGTCGACCACCTCAATTTTGCTGTATCCACTGTCAACAATGGTCACCGGAGGTTTCGAGCCGGAAACACACTAAACAACCTTGAACTTGGGGTCAAATCATGGAAGGCTGGTGCCAATACCATGAGCAGAGTGTGGACCAAAAATTTTTTGCAATAAAGTACAATGTCTCACCTTTCATTTAAGCTACCACAAATCACCCTGAGAAAATTAGCACAGACAGAACAGCCCATTTAAACAAGGCACTATATTCTCCTATTTTGCTTCCGGGTCATGGTAAAAGTAAAGGGGGGTAACTGTGGTCTGAGGCCATATTAGGCGGTCGCGCAATTTGGCACCACAACTGGTTCTTGCGTATTCGCTTGTCACTGGAAATCTAGTAGCGGAAGTAGCGCCTCGCGAGACTTACGGGCCCTATTAAGATTACCGTGTGTATCTGAGCCGGAAATAGCAATCAGCTTTGCACACGTTTCCCGGCGAACAAGTTCAAACATGCACAATAATATAACGGGATGAATTCTGACGCAGTCATCAGTAAAATATAATACAGAATACCATTATTTAACCCAAAGAAATATATCCTAGCATTGTGTAATTTTAGATACCGTTTTTGCTCTATAAATTAATTAAGATTAAGATTACCGTGTGTATTTGAACGGGAAATAGCAATCAGCTGTGCACACGTTTCCCGGCGAACAAGTTCAAACATGCACAATACCGTGTGTACCTGAGCCGGAAATAGCAATCAGCTGTGCACACGTTTCCCGGCGAACAAGTTCAAACATGCACAATAATATAACGGGATGAATTCTGACGCAGTCATCAGTAAAATATAATACAGAATACTATTATTTAACCCAAAGAAATATATCCTAGCATTGTGTAATTTTAGATACCGTTTTTGCTCTATAAATTAATTAAGATTAAGATTACCGTGTGTATTTGAACGGGAAATAGCAATCAGCTGTGCACACGTTTCCCGGCGAACAAGTTCAAACATGCACAATACCGTGTGTATCTGAGCCGGAAATAGCAATCAGCTGTGCACACGTTTCCCGGCGAACAAGTTCAAACATGCACAATAATATAACGGGATGAATTCTGACGCAGTCATCAGTAAAATATAATACAGAATACCATTATTTAACCCAAAGAAATATATCCTAGCATTGTGTAATTTTAGATACCGTTTTTGCTCTATAAATTAATTAAGATTAAGATTACCGTGTGTATTTGAACGGGAAATAGCAATCAGCTGTGCACACGTTTCCCGGCGAACAAGTTCAAACATGCACAATACCGTGTGTACCTGAGCCGGAAATAGCAATCAGCTGTGCACACGTTTCCCGGGGAACAAGTTCAAACATGCACAAAATATAATACAGAATACTATTATTTAACCCAAAGAAATATATCCTAGCATTGTGTAATTTTTAGATACCGCTTTTTGCTCTATAAATAAATTAAGATTTAGATTACCGTGTGTATTTGAACGGGAAATAGCAATCAGCTGTGCACACGTTTCCCAGGGAACAAGTTCAAACATGCACAATACCGTGTGTATCTGAGCCGGAAATAGCAATCAGCTGTGCACACGTTTCCCGGGGAACAAGTTCAAACATGCACAATAATATAATGGGATGAATTCTGACGCAGTCATCAGTAAAATATAATACAGAATACTATTATTTAACCCCAAAAATATATCCTAGCATTGTGTAATTTTATTTACAGTACTGAACAGATATTGGGACACCTGCAGTTTATGGGTCCCCATACCCGAAAGTAGAAATGTATTCTTTATAGCTCGCGTTATATATAGAGAAGCACGCAAGAGCGGGCTGATCTCCGTTAGGAGACATTTTAGATGAAATTAGAGGTCATTTTCGTGTTTACTGGCAAAAGTTTAATTTAAACTTCGTCTGAAAGACGATAGTTTTAAACACGAAATTATCTGCGTCTGAAAGACGATAGTTTTAAACACGAATTTTTGTAATGCTCCAAAACATCAATCCTAACCAGTGCAAATTGGTATCACGGGTACTGCATACGTGTGTGTAGTTAATGTGTGTTTTATCTTAGTTGTAGGACAAGAAATGTGGAGTACTCTTTTAATCGCTGTACATGCAAATTTATCGTCAGGAAATAATGTGTATTTTGTTAGATCAAGTTTCAAGGGACTCTGAGGCAATGTATTTTTATCACAATAAATCAGCCTGTGTCGTGTTATGATGTAATATACAACTGCTTGTCATAAGCATCACAAGGAATCACTCTTCGTCATTTGTTTTGCTGTGATAATTCACTGATTGATACAATAAGTATGGACTATACTGCACCTCAACTGCACCTCAACTGCAAGTGTAAATATTAGTTCTGCTACGTTATTCCCAATAAAGGTACCATGTGTGAAGCCCAATTCTGCTGTCACCCACTGATATTGCTGGAATATTGTGAAAAGCTACATAAAACCATACTAACTCACTCATTGCTTTGAGACCAACAAAATCACAAGTGCCATGACATTTGGACATGCTTGGACACGCTCTATTGGCACGCTTCACTGCTTAATGTTCAGTTGACAAGAATACAAGTCTGACATGAATGTTTCAGGGATATGTTTATATCAGCAGCTTTAGAGCTGAAACCTTTGATTCTTAAAGTTGAACATTCAATGGAAGGAACATCGCATGATTTGACCAAGAGATGAAACAGACCATTCTTGGGTATAGTGCTAGGTTTGTGACAAACTGGGTGTTGAGTGGATACAGTTGTAACAGATCATTGATTATTGAACCTAAGAGGCAAATGGGATTTCAGAAAGTAACTTCACCTAAAGGAAGGTAAGCTAAGAACATTTATTGCACTATAAATTCATAAAAATCTCTTGGAAAGATTTCCGCCCGGATTTTATCATTAGTATTAGTGAGGTCAAGGCCACTCTGATGCATACTAACACTAACCTAACCCTAACCCTACCCTTTAATTTATATTTTCACTACAACACCAATCTACACTTTGACATTTCAAGCAGGGGTTACAGGCGGAACTCTTACACAACTCTCTACTCTAAATAGGAATGAAAATCGATGCGTGTTTGCCCTAAGAACAAACTTATATACGAATTTGTGCTTTATTTGTACTGGTATCTTGTATGGCAACCTGACCCAAGTAAATTTCAGTCCCTTTCAAAGATGTATGAATTATGCTACATAGGGAGCATCTAGTTGATTTTAAGGGGTGGATGGAAATATATCTAAATGAATAGTTTGTTGGAAATCCAAAGTGAATAGTTTGTTGCGAGTGATGAAGAAAATGAATCATTTGTCTTGTGGAAAATCACCAAATGTCAAACTGAAAATCTTTTTGTTAAATGTATGTACTGCTGCTTGTTGCTTGGTAACTTAAATTATAGATCGTTTTCGAAAAAGAAACCCCTCATCCCATCTTGAGTGAGTGTGTGTGTTTAGTTTTACACTGCACTCAGCAATATTCCAGCTATATGGCGGCAGTCCATATATAATCAAATCTGGACCAGACAATCCTGTGATCAGCATGAGCATCGATCTAAGCAGTTGGGATATGAAGACCAGTGTCAAGCAAGTCAGCAAGCCTGACCACCTGATCTCGTTAGTTGCCTCTTACGACAAGCAAGGGTTGCTGAAGATCAGTTTTAACCTGGATCTTCACACAGGTTTTACCCCATGTTGATAAATGGCGCAGAGGCTTGTCATGTTAAAAATTGCATCAAAGTATATTGCCACTGATGGGGTCTAGCACTATCCTTATATACTAACAAGCCCATGTGGAAATATGACAGTTTTAGTGCAGAAACTGACATGTATTTAACAGTTTGTGTCATTTTTCTCGATATCTCTTTGTGTTTTCTGATTTCCATGATGGTTATTTTTTGTTCAGGAAGCATGACGAGAGACAGTACTTGGATGCTGTTGAGGAAATCATCTCACGAGGGGTGCGCCGAGAGAACCGTACAGGGATAGACTCATTGTCAATATTTGGCATGCAGATGAGATACAATCTACGTGACAGTGAGTAAAATGTCTGTTTTCTCAGCACTTACAAACTAATGTTGTCAATGGCAACATGTTTATCTGTAACATATTCTTATCATGAAAGGACTAATCAGAACTACAGATAACTTTTGGGGTCATTGAGTTATGTACTCTCGTGTTCATCTCAATTGGTTATCCTAATTTTCTTTTGAGTAACCTATTAAATTATGCCCACCTCACTCAAACTCAATTTGGTAATTTTGCCATTTTCCATAAATTGTAAAAATATAATCAAGTTTAAATATTGGTTTATGTGTTTGTTATATTGATTTAATCTGTAATATGAGAAACAATAAGAAAGACTGCAAATTGCCAAGTTCATATGTTGAAATAGAACCTCTAATATACCTCAGTTATTTTATCTATCCATCGGTATGCATGCAAGATTTGACACTTTTGTGTGTGTGCATGTAAGATCAAATTTATTGAGTATTTACAAAAATTCAAGCGTACTTGTACGCAATAGACTTAATGGGAATTGAGTTTTCACATAAGTATTTGAGTAATTAATGCAGATATGCAGCTTATCTATACCTCTGACTAATACAGTGTGTCCAGTACACACATATGTAGAGAATAGACGAAGAAAAAAGAAATTCACTGCGTCCAGAGGGACGCACAATATTTTTCACTGTACTCAAAACACATCTATGACTTCGCTAAGTGCTTGGTTTCTTTCAGTGCAGTAACGTGCATCATTTCATCCGTCAGTCCACATGATCAATTATTCATTCCAGGCTCTAGATATATTATCAAAATGTACAGTTCTCTACTGTTACTTCACAGAGCCTCATATTGCATGCAACGACCCTTAAAACTAATAATTATGGTCCCCCTGACCCCATGTTTGTGAATTTAGGTAAAACCCTGCTAATATAATCAGGTGGATAGGCTTGCTGACTTGGTTGATACTTGTAATAGTATCTCAGTTGACTAATAATCTTTGGATTATCTGGTCAAAGGTCAGTTATACAACAGACCACAAGCAGATAGCTGGAACACTGAATGATCTGGGTTAGAACTGGTCTTCAACAACTTATGATTGTCATTGCATATTGTTTGATTATATGTCAGTCCCTCCTGGATTCTGTGGCGAATTTTTAAGAATTCTGTTGCAGATTTAGGTAAATTCTGCATCCCATTTTTCAAACTTCTCCCCAAAAATTATAGTTAAATACTTGAAAAAAACCCAACAGAAAATGATAAAGAATTTCAAACATTAATTCTTAAGCACAAAGCTGTAACTGTTTTAGAGCTTCATGACATTCAAGGTACAGCTAGCTGTTTTTTTTTCTTGCAAGATGTTTTTTAGATGTAGAAAGATGATCTGAAACAGTACTGTTACGAGTGTGATCTGGATCAGAAATTATATTACAAACTCTACAAAATATTGTTTTGTTTGATAGTCAATCTTGATTCAACTTTCAAAATAAGTAAATTCCGCGGCTGAAAAATGGCAAAATTCTGCAGGCATTCTGCATGAAAATGCGTTTTCCGTGGACTAGAGGTTTTTCTGCAATAAAAGGTAATTTCTGCAATTTATTCTACAACCGCGGAATCTAGGAGGGACTGATGTGTACTTGCAATGTGTTTGTGAATCATGGCAAATCTGTAATAAAAGCAAATTACATTATTATACCAAAGTAAAGATAAAACCATTGTATTTAGCATTCTAGAATTTGATAGTAGATATTTGGCTTGAAGTAAACAACCAGCTGTTTGTTGTAGGTTTCCCTCTGTTGACGACAAAGCGTGTGTACTGGCGGGCTATTGCTGAAGAGCTGCTGTGGTTTATCCGAGGATCTACCAACGGCAAGGATCTCGCAGACAAAAATGTTAACATCTGGAAAGCCAACGGATCCCGAAGTTTTCTGGACAATCTTGGACTAACACATCGAGAAGAAGGTACATGGCATATTCTGATAGATACAGCCACTTGTTGGCTGGTCTGAGACTAATGTACCAGCAATATTCAGACCAGACAATCCAGTGATCAACAGCATGATCATCGATCTACGTAATTTGGATACAATGACCTGTGTCAACCAAGTCAGCGAGCCTGACCACCTGATCCCGTTAGTCGCCTTTGGTGACAAGCATGGGTTACTGAAGATCAAATCTAACCTGCATCTCCACGGGTAGGAGACAATATGTTATGTGTAATGTGATAAATACTGACTGATCTACTGTCTTGCAGGAGACCTTGGACCTGTCTATGGGTTCCAGTGGCGCCACTTCGGTGCCGAGTACAAGGATATGCACACAGATTACACCGGGCAGGGCGTGGACCAGCTGGCTGATGTCATTGATAAGATCAAGAATAGTCCACATGATCGGCGGATAATCATGTGTGCTTGGAACCCAACAGGTGTGTACACTCTTCCCCCGTCAATGTTTTGTTTTCAGGAATCATAGTAATGGTTTGTTGATATTTTAGTACATATTGGCTTTGGTTTCTTTGTTGAGAGGACAGTACTATACTTATTCTGCAATGAACAAATACAATTGCATTCGGTTATGTATTGTCATGCCTTGGAAGAACTGTTACTGAACAATGTTGTAACGGTTTGCCTTAACATTGCTTACTACACACATGAGGGACGGTGGGGTAGCCTCGTGGTTAAAGCGTTCGCTCGTCACACCGAAAGCCTGGGTTCCCTTCCCCACATGGGTACAATGTGTGAAGCCCATTTCTGGTGTCTCCAGCCGTGATATTGCTGGAATATTGAAAAAAGTGGTGTAAAAAATTAACTCGTATTCCTCTAATTCACTGAATTTGGTTACAGGTGAGGTGAGGTGAAATTGGGCTTAACATCGTGCTTGAGGATATTTCGCTCATATGACGACGTGCATGCGTGTGTATGTGTATATGCGGCTGGTTGTACTAGCCCAGACTTAAGCTGGTTTTATAGTGCTAGTCCACTGAGATACCACGCCGCAGTGAAGCATGAATACCCCACTCAGACTCATTATACTGACTCCGAGGCGACCAGTCCTTGTTGTACCCATTAATGCCGAGCGCCAAGCAGGGACCAACAAGTACCATATTTTAACGTCTTTTGGTTTGACGCGGTCGGGGATTGAACCCGCGACCTTCCGCTCTCTCCGCGGGCGGATGGTCTAACCACTACACCACGGAGGCGGTCCAATTTGGTTACAGAAATATTATTTGAGAAAGTGTTCAAGATGCCCTATCTTACTTTTCTATGGTTTATTGAAGGAGAGTTCAATGAGAATATGTGCGGTTTTGATTGTTAAAGCTGCCTGCATGGTTCATGATTTGATCATATACAAAATGCCATAATGTGGAATTTTGATGACAGCTGCTTGAAACAGCTTACTCATACTTACTGCCTCCATGCTTGATTCAGATCTCCCAAAAATGGCGTTGCCACCATGCCACTGCCTCGTACAGTTCTATGTTGCGGAAGGGGAACTGTCCTGTCAGCTATACCAGCGATCAGCGGATATGGTCAGTTGTCTCTCTTTTGGGATGCAGGATAGTGTATCTCCCAGTCTCAGGTGCCACAGTTCACTTAGGCATGGCCAAATCCTATGGCCTGAATCCCACATGTGCACTGATAAGATATATCAGCGGGTATGGTCAGTTGTCTCCCTTTTGGGATGCAGGATAGTGTAGCTCCCAGTCTCAGGTGCCACAGTTCACTTAGGCATGGCCAAATCCTATGGCCTGAATCCCACATGTGCACTGATAAGATATATCAGCAGGTATGGTCAGTTGTCTCCCTTTTGGGATGCAGGATAGTGTAGCTCCCAGTCTCAGGTGCCACAGTTCACTTAGGCATGGCCAAATCCTATGGCCTGAATCCCACATGTGCACTGATAAGATTCTAGAAAATTCTAGAAATGTCAGAACGTTGACCATACTCATGGGTTTCATCACAGGGGAAAAGGTCTAAGACCTGTATCACTTGGGGCTCTCCTGCCACAGTATAGGTCCCCATGCCTTTTTAAAGATGTGGACTAAACAAGGTTTGAGCAGTTACATAATGTCAGTATCACAGGTATCCGACTCTCACTTACGGTTACTAGGATATTTTCCTATTCTTTAGCAGTAAGTCACAATATACTAAAGGATCTCTCTTTTCGAGGGGCGGTAGGGTAGCCGAGTGGATAAAGCATTTGTTAGTCACGCCGAAGACCAGGGTTCAATTCCTCACATGGGTACAATGTGTGAAGCCCATTTCTGGTGTGCCCCACCATGATTTTGCTGGAATATTGCTAAAAGCAGCGTAAAACTCAACTCAACTCACTCACTCTCTTTCGAATCAGATTAATGTTTCTCTATAAGGAAGTAATGAAAATGGATGAGAAAATGCTCATTGTAATGGTGTTTTGGCTGTTCCAGGGTCTGGGTGTTCCCTTCAACATCGCCAGCTACTCACTCCTCACGTACATGATCGCTCACATCACAGGGCTAAAGGTGAGGCTTAGTAGATTTACATAATTAATGGCTTTATCCAATAGCTACTTGGTTCACTCACGAGCCTTCCCTGAATTCTGCATTAGTACAAAATGAGTCTTAAAAAATGTTTGATTTAATTGATGCTTATCTTGAATGTCCCTTTGCTTTCAGTGTAGTTTTAACTATATTTCAAGACAGATTTCTATTAACTATCTGCAATAATCCATGAGAACATGTTACGAATACTCACCCAGAATTATTTTAAAACATGAAATTTAAGGATATATATTTTTCATCAGTAGTTTGAACTATTGGCATGCATGCATAAAATAATCTTCCAACTTGATGAAGACTGCATTTCTCAGCACATCAACATGTGTACTGTATATAATTCTTGAATGTTTGTAATGCTCTCTTTTGTTCATTCTTCTGTATGACAATTTGTACTGTAGTGGGCATATCATTTTTGTTTAGACTGGAGATTTTATCCACACAATCGGAGATGCCCATGTGTATGTCAACCATATTGAAGCACTAAAGGAACAGGTAAGACATTCTCTCACTTCTTACTCATGAAGATCTGGATTAGAATTGATCTTCAGTAACCCATGCTTGTTGTAAGAGGCGACTAATGGGATCAGGTGGTCAGACTCGCTGACTTGGTTGACACATGTCATCGTATCCCAATTGCGTAGATCGATGCTCATGCTGTTGATCACTGGATGTTCTGGTCCAGAGTCGATTATTTAAAGACCGCCATCACATAGCTGGAATATTGTTGAGTGCGGCTTAAAACTAAATTCACTCACTCTCCGACTTCTGTGTCACTAATCTCGACTTTGTGAAAATCTAAAGATTCTGGAATTTAATCAATGGAAAAATCATCAATATGCGTCTGGTAGTAATACTGGCATTGATCAGGATATTGATTTACTGATCAGTGTATGAATGTATTGTGACTCTCAATAGAGCACTATTGGAATCTGGCATTGAGCGCATTTATTCTGCAACATGATCAAGTCCAAAAAATCAAGCTTCACAAAATGTCAAATTTTTACAAAATGTAATAAAGTCACTATGCGATTGTCTATGGTGACGAAATGCGATCTCTACTGACCGTATTCTTGAAGAATCTGAAGATTTTAACTTGGAAAAATTCTCTTCCACTCTGAACACGTCTGTGCGTGACCATACAGAAAAAATTATGAGGGTGTTCAAAGAACAATGCTGTGACGTCGCAGCTAAGGGAGATAACCATGCCTCTATTTAGGCATACCACTAGGGATAGCTGTGACTTAGAAGAATTTAATCTCTTTCTGTCTGTATGTATCTGTGGTACCCACAGGAAACTGGCAACCATAATTCAGAGGGAACGTTTATGACATAATTCTTGAAATTGATTCAAATTAAAATCTCTACCAGCTAATAAGTAGCTCAAATGAGCAAATAATCAAGTTTGTAGTGTGCAGTATTTATGTGCTCTTATAAAAATTATTCAATCATTTTGTTTTTAGATCAAGCGAGAACCTAAAGCATTCCCAACGTTTAAGATGAAGAGGACTGTGGAAACTATTGATGATTTCACAATGGAGGATTTTGAAATAGTGGGCTACAACCCTCATCCCCAAATCAAAATGGATATGGCTGTATGATAGCCAGACATATTGGTATACTGGTCTTCCAACACTGCCTCTTGTGCCTTAATACTTTATCCTTGTTCATGTTCTGTTCTAACGGGAACCTGTAAAACAAAGTATTTCACTGTAGGAGGCTATCATGACAACTGAGAGCAATGTGATATATTACTAGCATTACCTTTATTGTCTGAACCTGCATCTTAGCATTTATCCTACTGTGGAAACATTTCACAATGGAGGTAGTTTCACCTATCTGCAGAGCAATATGATATGTTACTAGCATTGACATAGCTATCCTTAGCATTTATCTTACCACAGGTGTTTCACCTACTAACAAAGCAATAAAATATGTTACTGGCTTTGACAATAAGACAATATTATCCTCAGCATTTATTCTACCACATGTGTTTTGCCTACCGACAGCGCAGAAGTATGTGCTACTGGCTTTGACAGGCCTAAAAAAAAAATGTTGTGGTTCCGATTAACCAACCTACCCTTGAATTCTGACCCAAGTTTTTTTAAAAGGTATGAATAAAATAAGCTTTCAGATACCATTGTTTTTGCCTGTCACCAATGGACATGGTCATTCTGATAGAGAAAGTTGACATGATGGCTGCAAGCTTGATTGAATAAACAAGTATACATTGATAAATGTGTTATTAGTTCATACTTTACTTCTAAAAAAATGTGAAAAAAAAGAATTCCTACCTACCTACCCTAAATTTTAAAGAGGTGTAATCGGAACCACATTTTTATTATTTGACTCCTTTGCATTTGTTCTTACACATGCTTTGTCATGATGCAATAGTTGATACCTTGAAATATATTCATTACCTGTAAATAATTAAACATGTAAAACATACTGATATAAAAAAATCATTTGGTTTGTCCTTTTTTGTGTTAGCTTGTTACATGGTTTCAGTTCAAATTGTCTGTTACCAAGGTTACATGAATCAATGCATGACCAAGAGATGGGTCGTAGCACTAAGCACTGGACGGCAGTTAATTGCATCGCCCACATGTGCATGTTCAGTAGCTAACCTGTGTAAAGGCATTGGTCAAACTCGTAGGAGGCACGTTAATGGATAAGGCGTTCATGCTTGGTGGTGTACAGTGTCACTAATGCTATTAATCACCGGTTTGTTTGGTCCATATTTACTGACTGCAGTAACACAGCTTGACTTTTATAGAGTACTACGTTAGACAAACGATGAGCAGGTATTTTTCTCGGATTCTAAAATAAGTGCCTTTGGCAAGCAAATTTGGACAAAATTGTGATATTGTTCAAAATTCCATTATTTAAATGTTCATATATTTGTAAATTTTGAGTTAGGACTTTTTAAATTGAATTTGGGACTTTTTACTAGGATATCACTGACGACTAAAGAGTTTCTATCATTGTCATTATATTTCTGCAACTACTGGATGTTTTTGAATCAATAAGCAACCAATGGCACAAGCCAATGCTAGTACTTAATTGATATATTTATCGAGTGACCGAAATAGTGTTTCATTTGTATGCCATGGCACAGTAAAAATTGAAATGGCACAGATGAAATACTTTCATTGTGCCCTGGCAGCATCACTAAAATTTATGAAAATAATTAATAGAAAATGCCAAAAAATTGACCTACTGAAATAATTCAAAACCTATTTGTACACCCTATCAGATTGTTTTTATCCGTGGCAGTTTAACTTGAATGTCAGTGTGTACAGCTGGAAATCCTGTTTAGGATGATAACAGTGTTGGTTGGTCAGTTTATGGATCCAGAACAAATGAAGATGAACTGTTTTTGCAGTCATGATAGTTTCCAGGAAATCCAGCTCTCGAGTCTACATGATGTTTACTGATTATTGAACAATTCATTGAAATGGCGTAATTGTTGTCATGTTAGTTAAAGTGGATCATAAGGTTTGGGCAGGCACATTTTCACAAAAAAAAAGATGCATTCTATCCCTGTTATTTGTCAGGGATCAGTCAGTAGGGCTTGTGTTAAGCAACAACCACAATTGGAAGGCTTTGTGTTGCATTAATCAATAACCATGACCGTGAAAAGATCAGGCCCCGATTTCTCGAAACAAACATGAGAATGAACTAAAATCGATAGTAAACTCAAACATAGTAGACAGTTTGAGTTTGGTGGATAGATTACTTAAGTTGTTTGGGCTCTTTTATTTAAAAAATGCAGTTGAGTTTAAAATTCAGCTGTTTCAAATTGTCAAACTCAGTCTGAAATTTGAGTAAAAACGGGGCCTGGAGAAATCGGGGCCTGGTGTCCATTAACTACATTTGAGTAGTCTTTTTGTCACGTATAGCTCGGTTAATTCCGTTGTTGCATTCTCAACATCCAGAAATGTGATTCCATAACGACCAACACCAAAATTTGCATATAGTGTTTTCCGTGAAGATCCAGGTTAGATTTGGTCTTCAGCAACCGATGCTGGTTGTAAGAGGCGACTAACGGGATCAGATGGTCTGGCTCGCTGACTTGGTTGACATATGTCATTGTATCCCAATTTCGTTGATCGATGCTCATTCTGTTGATGACTGGGTTGGCTGGTCCAGACTTCGATTATTTACAGACCGCCAGCATATAGCTGGAATATTGCCGAGTGAGGCATTACACAACAAACCAACCAACTCAATATCCTGATCGTTCATGCTGTCAACCATTTATGTTAAAGTATAATGTTCAAAACACAACAAACAGGTGCTTGTATCAACAATTCATGTTTATTCCTGCAATAAATGGAATATCCCCTGAACAACCTTATGAAAGAAAGATCAGTACCACTGCCAAGCAGCATGGTTTACAGGTAAGTATTCGCCGACCTTGACGAGATCTGGTAAACCACAGCCTCAGTAGAAATAACAAGCTCTAAATCTCAATTCCTTATATCTTGGATATAACTAAGATTTTCACATAGTGGACAGCAGCAGGGCATTGATTACCTTCTGTACTGTCATGGCCCCGAACTAAAGGCTTTCCCAGACTAATTGAAACTTATCTCTCTACACAGCTATCAGGTTGTCTGTGAGGCCATCTATGGACATGGATAAGGCCAGACCAATCTTATTTCTTGTTTTACGGATCCGCTGGTCGTATTTTTTCAAGAATAAAAATATATAAATGATTATTTTCCCCGCTCAAAAAATAAAATCCTCATGTTTTCATTGGCCAAAACTGTAAACTTACAAAAGAAAATTACTTTTGATTGTTTTGTGCCTCATTTACACTTCATAAATTGCAGAATAAAAATACACTAGTATTTAAAAGGAATATTACCTTGACTGGTGATTTTTATTTTATAATTTTTTTTCCCTCCTGCCTTTAGGTTTTCTGAGGACATAAATCCGTAAAACAAGAAATAAAATTTGTCTGTCCTAAGTAATAAACATAAACAATCATTTCTCATGAAGTTTTGAACAATGAGCTAGATTTCTTCACATTCACTACACCTGTGAGTGAATTTAGTTTTACTCCAGCAATATCAGTGCAGATGACACCAGAAATGGGCTCACACATTGTGCCCCATTTGGGGAATCGAACCCAGGTCTTTGGTGTGACAAGCAAATGCTGAACCACTTGGCCACCCCACCGACCCTGATACAACTGAATGCAACTAATAGGAAGAAATTCTACAACATGACTGCTGTAATAGATGTCAATCAGAGACCCAGTTTAGTTATTCAACATTGTATCAATGTTGACAAAGGAATGTTTAGCTGCAAGAAACTGCAATATGAAATAAGAACCGTTTGGGCCATAAACCTAAACCAAGCACCTGGTGAAACTGGGGGCTCACTGGATTGTTTTGCTAAACAAAACAGCTAATGTTGTCTTTCTATTAATCATAGTTCTTGAATAAGTTTTAGAACATAGATACATGTACATGTGTGTTCTTTGAATTATAGTCATGGCTGAAATGGATTATACTATACCAGGGTATGAAACTCAAACATTTCAGCCGGACCACAGGGCTGGTTAGACGTAAAACTTGCCAGCCCTGACCAAAACTTACCTGCCCACAAAAAATACTAATTTACTTATTTACTATTTTATGAGTGAATTAATGATGATTATCCTGAAATATGATGAATATCTGTGTATACTTGTCTAAATTTTAACCTGACCATCGGGCAGGTGGATTTGAGAATCCGTCAGTCCGTGTTGAAAATAACCCGTCCTGGGCGGTCGGGCAGGCAGGTATTTCAACGCTGACTATGCAGACGATAATGTCTGGTCATCGAAATATGTGATACCTCGAAGAACATATAATTATCAGCAAATCTCTAGCTGTCATTTGTGTTCAAGGGACCGTTCATAATTTATGGCTGGGGTTTGATGATGATTTTAAGGGTGAAGTTAGGGGTGTAATTTACTTTGTACATAAAATATGTGTGTGTGTGTGTGTGTGTGTGTGTGTGCATGTGTGCGTGTGTGTGATTCACATTGTACATGCTTCTCCACAAAAATCATCATCATTCCCCTAGCCATAAACTATGAACGGTCTCTTAGCCCAAGCACTTCTTCCCCCTCCACCATCTGCGAGGACCCCAGACAGCCAAGACCTCTCACCCCACCACAGCCTTACCACTTGGAAGACATGGAGACATTACAAATCTGTATTTTCTTTCAGTTTTCATTTTAACACTGGTACAGAGATGGTAGGATATCCAAAGGTTTGCGTTTGTGGGTAGGTGGTGACAGCTATAAATAGTCATGCTACACAAACTGTCCATGGCGTGTCAGAGATAGGTGATAGAATCTTTCTCTGTGTTGTGAATTCCAAGCAGTTACAGACTTGATCAGTTGAAATGAAGAAAGTCTCTGGGACTCCTTTTTATTATATTTTAATAAGATGATTAGTTGAACTATTTTTCTCTGCAAAATATTTTTTCTCATGACCAAATATCTAGGTCACATAATAGCAATGGACATAAATCATGGACATCAATGGACATAACCCCTACCTGTGGCTGTCAAATAATATTTGAAAAGAAAAGGTTCAATTTTGGATTTCAAGAACATCACCTGAAGTATGATCCGATTGTATACATGACAACCTCCAAAGAAATACAAACCCATGATGACCAGACATCCCTGT